CTGTTGCTAACTGTGGCTAACTGTGGCTAACTGTGGCTAACTGTTGCTAACTGTGGCTAACTGTTGGTTGTTCAGCGGACACACAGACATGTTCCTAGCAGCCCGATAATGACTGCACTTCTCGGTGAACTGTTGTTCGGTTCAGGTTTCCGCTGTGTGTTAGCGACCGTTAGCTGCTCACATTCTGCAGCAGCAGCTTGTTATTTCGGGGTCAGGACGAGCTGCTATTGATTATCTCCTCTGGGTCCATTCGACGATCCAATTAGCAGCAGAGGGATGACCTGCTGTCTCTGCTGCAGCGAGTCCAGCTCGTCTTCTGCTCCATGAGGCCAATTATTGTGCCGGCAGACTCAGACCTGCTCACATAATCATCAGTCTGAGGGTCGGAGGTTCTGTTTGAGGTTTAACTGGACTGATGGAACCAACACTCTCAGGAACACAACAGCTTCACTTTGTAGCAGATAAAACCTGTAACCCTGCATACAGAATGAACACTAATAACTAATAATAAATAATGATTGTATTTATAACATGTTGCTTTTTGTTTCATCTATAAACAATAAATCAGGTGACCCGTAACGTGATGCGAGCGAGCCTACCTCTGCCTCCAGGAGACATCTACAACCTGACAGTGACGGCCTGCACCGAACGCAGCCGCAACACCTCCACGCCAAACATCATCAAACTGGGTCAGTGCACACACACATATACACACAGTAGCACACACACAGTAACACAGACAGTAACACAGACAGTAACACACACACAGACAGTAACACAGACAGTAACACACACACACAGTAACACACAATTATTATTTTTTCTATTTTTTGTGCATATTTATTTATCTTTAAATAAACCGGCACATTTATATGATTATTGACACTGGTTTATTTCTTTATATTATAAGTAATTATAAGTAATTTAATTATTGAAGTCAGTTTGGCAGCTTTTGTCCTCCATATCTCCAGATAAGGTTTGTACTGTGTGCAAATAATAATGAGCATTAATATTAATAATAATGAGCATTAATATTAATAATAATGAGAGTTTACAGCTTCAGTCTAAGTGCGTTTCCATCCTGAAAGTGAAAATGAAACTTGAGTTTTGGGACTTCCTCTTTAAGCTGTGAGAGTTTGTAGCCTCGCTGTCAGACGCTGCACTGGCTCTCGGCTCCACTTCGACTTGGTTCACATCACTTGCTGTCACATTCGGTCAGATTGAAGTTTTCGTTTGCGTCTGTTGGCTGCAGAGCCGGCTCCTCCGAGGTCCCTGTTCGCCATCAACGCCACGCACTCGTCCGTCACTCTGCTGTGGACCGAGGAGGGAGTGGTCGACTACTACCAGGTCCTCTGCAAACCCAACAAACCCAGCAAGGAGCTCAAGGTAAAAGAACCATTATTACTTTATTTCATCTGCTTGCTTCCAGAAAGGAAACAGCTTGTTCAGAAAAAGTTACAGTAAATAAAAGTTAAAGACTCAATCTCCAGTATTATTATTATTATTATATTTATTATTCTAATTATGATTATTATTATTATTAGTAGTAGTAGTAGTATTAGTATTATCAGTTCATTTAAATCTGAACAAAAAGTACTCAGTTGTTTAAGATCTGTGGTTCTCAATCCGTCCTGTAGGGTCCTGTGGGGTTCTGTAGGGTCATTGTATGGTTCTGTAGAGTCCTGTAGGATCCTGTGGGGTTCTATAGGGATCACTGATGGGATTCTGTAGAGGTTGCGTGGTGTAGGGGGCGGGGAAGGTTAAGTGGGGGTATGTCGGTGTTAGAGTGCGCGTTGTGAGGAATCCTGTGGATTCATAGTGGGTTGTGCGAAGTGTGGAGAGACGTCACAGAGTTGTATGGTTGCAATGTGTAGGAGTCCGTAGGATCCGTGTAGGTTCTGCTGGGGTCTGTGGGGCGGAGTGCAGGAGGTATTCATGAAGCTATAGTCTAGATGAGGTCATCTACGTGTGTGTCTTGTTTTTTCATAACCTTAAAGAATCCAGAAAGGTCCCTCGCGGATGCTCATCCCCGTGGTGAGTTTGTGTGTGTTTGGGGGAGTTGGGAGGAGTAGATGTTGTGGTGGTGGTTTTAGTGGGTGTGGTGGGTTGAGTGCATGGTGTTGGTGTAGTAGTGTTGTTTGAGGAGAGAGTTGTTGGGGTTGAGTGATGTTAGTTTTTTTTTTTTTTTTTGGTTACTTTTTGGAGTCGGAGGATGTTTAGGTTAATTGTTGAGAGAGAGTTTATGTAGCATGTGGAAGATTATATAAGTTTTTGAATTCTATTATGCACTGATCCTATCGTAGGAGCACAATTAATGGCTAGTTATTTTTCGATCGCATATGTATAGAATCATTATACATGATGTGCCAGTTGGATATGAGGTTGTATTCTATCGAATTTTGATGCATATGGATGATAATGTTGAGTGGATATCATTGGGATATACGTTCTATATCTACGTGCAGTGTATATTATTTGTCCAAGCGAATGGGTAGTGATATATAGATCTATCTCTATGAGGGACTGTAATGCACTGTCATTGATAGATAAATTCAATAGTGAGTATATCAAATACCATAACCATTTTAAGAATTGAAGAAAATTAAGTGTTTTTGGTCGGACCGGAGGAATCGATATCTGGAATACTTCATCCTCAACTATACCCTGTTAAAAGGCAAAACATCAAACCTTTCATTAAGAATGTTGTCTATCTGGAGATAATTCTTATTAATTTCATCCACGTCGATCACAGGAGGTATCTGTGTTGACTGATGACGGAGTATCGATTTTTCACTGATTGTCCTGAGTAGATAGTTCCCACAGTGACTTTTTTTTATATTGAGGAACGCCTTAACCCCTCTGTTCTACTCCTGATCTGTACACATCTGTAGCTCTTGGTTGCTTACCCGGTGGTGAGTCCGTCCTAGTGTTGGTTTTCATCATGATACTGACATCAGCTGAAAGACCTTATAGTTCGACCGAGGGTTGGTTTGGTATTTGTTCGACAATCGACAGTATATGTTTAATTCTCAGGACCTGTGTGAGGATGTATGAACGCAATAGTTGCTGCGAACTGTCTAAAATTGTTTTTTTTAATTTATCACTCTGATTGCTGAATGTAGTGTAGAGGCTGTTGCTTCTCTCGCCTCAATCGTGTACACAATGCTTTCATGATCGGATCGCGATCTTCGATGGACGCGGATTTGTATGGTTTTTTTTTTTGTTTTGTTTGCATTCATTATTTGTAACTCGTCTGATGTGAGCCGGATGCGCTAATCGTGTGTGGCGGTCAGGAAGGTCTTACCGTCACACCACGTTATTATCACTGGACCTCATATTTTTTGCGCCCTGTTGTGATATGAGCTCTGTGCCTCTCTGCAGGTATGTTTCTTCTCTCATATGAACTGCTTCCCGCAGCTATGCTATAGGGTTATTTTCCTCGACAGCCGCATGTGAGAGCACTGTTCGACGTGGTTGGTCTAGCTGCAGTCTTGGTGCGGGTATAAGCTCATGGTACGTCAACGGCCGGTGCATGGTGGTTCCCGCTGATGTTACGTTCTGTTCTTACCTAGGCTGAGTGGGTAGGTTTCCCAATGTAGCAGGCCTGTATGGTGATAGGCTGCCGAGCAGTAGCATGGTATGTGTTTGTATACATTCTTGTCACGACTGCCAGCAACTAAGGAAGGCGTTTTCTGTCTCTGGGCCGTGGGGGGTGTTGCGGGTGTTCAAAGTGATAGCGCGTGACATGTTATTCAGTTGGAAGACCTGACGTTCTCTGTAACACATACGTTCGCTAGTATTGGTGAAGAAGACGCTCTGCCTGTTTAGTGATGTCTGCTGGGTCGAGATTGCGCAGATTGTTGAGTTAGGTATTCAGTCCTATGCATAT